CACCCTCTTCTGATCTGATCACTGTAGGTTCCAAGTAAGCAAGAAGTACACATAAAGACATGTAAGCATAACATTCATACATATTCATGCCCAGCTTAAATAAATAAATCTTTTTTTAAAAATGAAGCATCTTACCTGGGCATGGTGGCACATGCTTGTAGTTCCAAGCACTTGGGAGGCAGAAGCTGGTGGATCTTTTAATATATTTGCTGTCAAAATGGGTAATTCAAATAGAAAGTCTGTAAAATCAAAGAAGACATGAACAACATAAAGAACTAGTTTGAACCAATGGACACAGAACTGTCATGCCAACAATGAAAGTACAAACAGATGAATTAAAGAAATTTGCTACACACTTGGAGACAGAGGCAGGCGAGGCAGAGGCAGGTGGATCTCGGTGAGTTCAAGGCCAGCCTGGTCTACATAGTACCAGGACAGCTGGAGTTCCATGGAGACCCTGTCTCAAAAAGACCAAAAATAATAACAATAATTTGCTACAGACGAGATGCACCTTAACAAACAGCAAAAACTAGCTTTTGTACATGCATATTCTCTGACCACACTGAAATTAAGAAAAGCTTATTTTAGGAAAGAAAGCAATCTAGGCATGCAACTCAGGAAAAAATGAAAAAGAAATCTGAAAATAATAAGTCAGAATATAAAGCTTGTTCTTTGAAGAGATAAACATCTGGGAATACTGCAAGGGGGCAGTGACAGATAAGCAATGTAAAGCTGAGACTTGAAGGAAAATATTGTGAATAACTTAATAAATCTGAAAACTTTTACAAAACTACTTCCTAGAAAAATTAAACATACTAAAAGATGGAACTTTTGTTTCTTACTTCTTTATTTGCATGTGGATACATTGGAGATCAGAAGACAACTTGCAGGAATCAGTTTTCTCCTTCCAACATATGGGTCATGGGGATCAAACTCAGGTTGTCAGGTTTGGCAGCAAGCACCTTTACCTCTGAGCCATCTCAATAGCTCCAAGATAGAGTTTTCAAGGATGACTTTTAACTTTCTAACAGGTTGCGCTTATGGAGAGAGAGAGAGAGAGGAGAGAGAGAGAGAGGGGAGGAGGGAGGAGAGGGGAGGGGAGGGAAGGGGGGA